CAAAATTTTTCCAGCTAATGCAACGACAACAACCAAAAACAATACAATCAAGACAACGACAACGACAACGGCAGCTACTCATCAACACTCCAATAGCCTGACTTTCCAATCGGATTCGGAACCTCTCTCTAGACGTATCGATTCAGAAACAGATGAAAAATCGCCCAGTGAATCAGAATCAGCCTCGTTGCCCTCTTCTACCGTGGAACCAACACTAGAAATATCCAAATTCACAGCCACTCAAGAACAGGAGACCTCCTCAAAAAGCCCATCTAAAACCGGAGCTGGAACGTCTTCAGACACGTCAGGTACTCCAATGGAGACCCTGGAATCGGTAGTAGAACAAGAAATTAGCAACACTACAACGGAGCTCGAAGAAGAAGCCTTTAAAATCATCGACTCAGTCAAACACCATTTTGATTTAGTGCCTGCAGGAACGTCACGAAAACCGCCATCCACTTCAGAGACCACTTCAGCCGAACCTTCGAAATTTGAGACCGGAGACAACGATACGGACGGAATGAAGGTGACAACATTAACAATCGAATCAGATCAATCAGATAATTCGATTGATCTGACAACACCGTCTACTGATCGTATTGGATCCGGTAAATCGGATCATCTGGGATCATCTGATCTAGAAAAGTCCCAGAAACAATCTGAGGCACAAGATGAGACCCAAAACCAAGAAACCGCCCAAACAGTTTCATTGCAATCGCCGATGCCCACATCGATTATTTATGAAGGTATTTGAAAAATGAAAATTTTTACAATTTTATAAGTTCAGTCAACATTTTGAAGTGATTTTTTTGGATTTTTTGAGCTGAATTTCAGGTTTTTTTCAGCTTCAGCTGAATTTTGAAAATTTTAAAAATTTAATTTTTTTATTTTTTTCAGGAACTCCTTCAAATTGCGCGGGTCGCCTGGAATTTCAGCGCATTCCGATTGCAAACGTTCGAAAATTAAACGTCACCCGCCAGGTGCCCGCTAGAACCCCGGCTGATTGTGCACGGCAGTGCTTTGAAACGGTTAGGATTGGATGCGCGATGGATGCGATGTGCTGCTTTCAGCTGTTTTTTGAGAAGAAAATTTTCATTTTCCAAAGATTTTACGAAAAAATTTTCATTTAATCGTAAGAAAAATTTTTCCTCCCCAAAAATTTGGGAAAAATTTTGGAAAATTTTTCATTTTCTTGTAGGAAAACTGCTCTCTGGCCGGCTATATACCGAATATAAGTGGTGAACCGACCAATGGAGCGTGTATGCTGACCTCAGGTGCTGAAGTGTGTGGTGAGGGCGAGGAGATGGTTCCTCAGCATGCCTCGCTGAGTGCCTTCTTGATCAGTTGCATAAGATGTTCAGGTGCTTTAATTGTTTATTGTCATTTTGTTGTCAAATTGTCATTTTGTCAAATTGCCATTTTGTCAAATTCATTGCCAAATTCAATTGTCCGTTTCCATTTTCAGAGCGTATTTTTTGCAGTTTCAGGGAAAAAATTTAATTTTTATGCTGTCGTCAAATTTCAACCATTTTTTCCCGGATCTCCCAAGATCTTCCCAAGTTTCGGGTGGGTTTAATCCTGAAAGACGAATCTTCCCGACAAAGTCACTTAAACTTAAAGACAAAGCAGACAGGCACACATGAGATTTGGAGTATGTGTCAATCGTGGGAAACGAGATTTCCCGAGATCCCCATGGGAACTCGGGAAAATCGCGGGTAAACGGGCGATTCCCGGCCGCCGGAAATCTCACGCTCTCGGACTGTTTTCTATTTCAGCTTGTAAGTATGTGATAAGCACTGAGCTACCCAAACAGAGGCAATTGCCCGAATTCGACGACTTTGAAGTGGTTTCATCCGTCGGCAAATGTGCCGAATTGTGTGCAAAACAAAATTGCTCATTGGCAAAATACGATTCGAGCACAGGACTTGTAAGCGATTGTTTTCTAAAATTTTAAACTTTTAAACTCATTTTCTAAAAATTCCAGATTTTCCAAAAAAACTACCCGAAATTCTCTATAATTTTCCCAAAATGAGGGCTAAATTTGAGAAAAATTCACAGTAC